CATGGCACGGCGTGCAGAGCTCACTGCATGGCACAGTGTGTGGAGCTCGCAGCATGGCACGGCATGCGGAGCTCGTGGCACGGCACGGCGTGCGGAGCTCGCGGCACGGCGTGCAGAGCTCACAACATGGCATGGCGTGCGGAGCTCACTGCATGGCACAGTGTGCAGAGCTCAGGGCACGGCACGGTGTGCGGAGCTCAGGGCACGGCACGGTGTGCGGAGCTCGCGGCATGGCACGGCGTGCGGAGCTCGCAGCACGGCGTGCGGAGCTCACTGCATGGCACGGCGTGCGGAGCTCACTGCATGGCACGGTGTGCAGAGCTCGCGGCATGGCACGGTATGCAGAGCTCAGGGCACGGCACGGTGTGCGGAGCTCGCGGCATGGCATGGGGTGCGGAGCTCGTGGCATGGCGCCGTGCTCCCCCGGAGCGGGGCCGCGCGCGGGGCTCACCTCCTGTGGGGACGCCGAGGGCGCCTGCAGCAGGCTCGCTTGCTCGCCCTCCGCCTCCGCCGGCCCCCTCTGCTCCGGCTCCTCCGCTCTGGTCACCACCGTTTCAGGAGGCACCGGCGGGATGGCTGGAGACTCCACCCTGCACAGAGAGGACAGTGCCGCTCACTCAAGAGAGGGGCCCTCAGACACCCCCCTTTACAATCCCCTGGGGACCCGGCAGCGAGCTGAAATCCAGGGATCCTGGATCTCGGGCTCCTTCCTGGCGCCATCCCCCCTCGCTGCCAGGCAGGGCCTCGTACGTTTGCTCCAGGGTGGTCTCGGTCACCAGCTCCAGCATCTCCCTCTTGCCCTCCTGCTCCCTGACCTCGTCTGTCTTGGTCTTGGGGGCGAGCAGCTCCTCCTCTGCAAGCAAGAGGTGCACTCAGAGGCCAAGGGCAGGAGCACGGGGAGCACCGGTCCCCCCACTCCGGGATGGAGCCGGTTGCTTCCTCCTCTACTCCACCGAGCCCTGGGAGCTTTCCCGACTTCGTCCTCGGCTTTGCCAGCGCTGCCCAAAGCAAGGAGCTGGCACCAGGGTGGTGGGCAGCACGGAGACCCCCCCCAGCACTCGGCTTCATGGGCACCCAGGAGGGCTGAGGGCGCCCGTGGAGCGGCACCAGCGCTCGGCAGAGCCAGGGACGGAGCCGGGGGCGGGCAGGGGACACGGAGGGACAGTCCCATTCATGCAGTCACATCACAGCGAGCAGCACAGACACGGGCGGGCAGGGCCGGCGCCGCGGCGCGGCGGTCCCCTCGGCACAGCGCGGCGGATGGAGGCGGCGTGCGGATGGGTTAGTGGCCGTGGGGGTGAGATGGGCCGTGGAGCTAGGCTTGTGGGGACACACGTTTCATACCCATTAGAGTGACATGAGCAGTGCCTGCAAAGTAAGAAGAGGCAACGGTGAGGTGCTGCCGGCGGGCTCCGGGCGCGGGCGGGCACGGCCGGTGCACGGCACCCGCACGGAGCTGCGGACACGGCTCTCTTGCACGGTGCCGGGAAAGGTTACAGGCCAGGAGGTGCCACCGAGAGGGTCGTGGGCTCTTGACCGCACAGGGCCACCCAGCTCCCCCAGCCAGCCTGGTGCGCCCCAGTTCCCAGCCCTCACCTTCATCCTCTGACACGTCCAGGATCTCGTCCACCGTCTCCGGGAAGCTCATGCGATGTTTGTCACCGACTGGCTGCAAAAGCAGAGGGGAGTCAGAGCAAGCCCAGATGCCCAGGCCTGTGGGCACCGGCTTCAGATGAGTCCAGTGTCCCGCACTGGAGCACGGCCGTGTTCTCCTGGCTCCAGGGATCCCTCCAGGGACTCACCGGGATGCCCGTTTCCTCCGTGACGATCTTCAGCACATCAGTGACTGAAATGTAGCCGAGGCGCTTTGCAATGGCCAGAGGGGTGGTGCCATTCTGTGCAAGGAGACGGGACACGGGACGGCTGCAGCGGTGTCGCGAGGGCCTCCGAGCCCGYCCTGGCGCCAGCGAGGGCGCTACTCACCGTGCTCATCTCGTTGGGAGATGCACCGTGCTTCAGCAGCAGCGTCACGATGTCGGTGTGGCCCTGCTGCGCCGCTTGGTGCAGCGGGGTGTAGCCCAGCTGCAGGGGGGACACAGGGGGCTGCTGGCACCTCCAGGGCTTCCTGCTACCCCATGAAGGCCCCCAGGCCGGGATGCTCCCGAGCACAGAGACCGAAGGGCCCAGAGCAAAGGAGCAGGGGAGCCTGAGCCATCCCCATCACCCTTGAGGTGCTGCACAAAGGTCCTCGGAGCCACCTCCATACCTTTGTCTTGGCATTGACGTCAGCCTGGTGCTGCAGCAAGAACTTCACCAGCTTGATGTTCCCGTAGTGGCTGGCCACGTGYAGCGGGGTGTAGCCCATCTGGAAGAGAAGGGAAGTCGTCCGTGCTTTCTGCCACCCCAGCTTGGTGTGTGGTGCCATGGGCACACGCTGTAGCCCAAGGGTGGAAGACACGCCGTAGCCAACGCCACGGGGAGCGGACAAGGAACATCCCCGTGGTGCGGACAAGGAATATTCCCATGGTGTGGACAAGGAACATCCCCATGATGCGGACAAGGAACATCCCCGTGGTGCAGACAGGATGGGAAGGAATGCCCGAGCGAGGGAACACCCTCGCACAGAGGGAAAGAAGAGCAGGGCTGCTCTTGGAGGGAGCCCCACACGTGATTCCTTCATACGTTTGCACCCTGGGTCAGGGCCAGCCCTCCAGCTCACCCTGGTTGTGGCATCCACTGTGACTCCGTGTTTCACCAGAACGTCAGCAACGGGTACGTGGCCCTCTTGGGCCACGAGGTGGAGGGGAGTCAGGCCACTCTGCAGAAAGAGGAAGGCACAGGCTTGGTGGCAATGCCACCATTGTGCCCTTCTCCTAGGGTGTCCTGGAGAAGTGCCGTTTACCTTGTTGCCCAGGTTGCCGTTGGCCTGCTTGGAGAAGAGCAGTGCCACCATGTCCGCGTGCCCCTCCTGGGAAGCCAGGTGCAGGGGGGTGACTCCCTGCAGGGACTCGGCGTTGGCAGAAGCTCCGTATTGCAACAAGCTGCTGGCCACCTCCATCTGGTTCTGCTTGGCCGCGATGTGCAGCGGGGTGTAGCCGTTCTGCAAGGCGAGAGGAGCCGTCGCGCAGGGCTCYGCACCCTCCAGCAAGGCGGAAGGTGCCGTCCTGCCTCCCCAGACCAGGTTGGCGCCCAAAACACGTCGCGAGCGGTGCCGACGCAGAGGGAGGACCCATCCCCGTGGCTCCCAGCGATGTCCCCTGCAGCCTCACCCAGGCCGGGCTGTGCGGGGAGCTGCCCTTGGGAAGCAGCAGCTTGACGATCTCCAGGTTGTTGTGGTGCACGGCCACGTGCAGGGGCGTCAGGCCGTTCTGGGAAGGGGCGAGAGCAGAGAGGAGTGAGGCAGGGGCTGTCGCCATCCCGCTTTTCCCGCGGGAGCAGCGCTCACCTTCCCCGCCGCGTTGGGCTGGGCATCCTGCGCCAGGAGCAGCTCCGCCACGTCCACCTTCCCGTACTTGGCTGCAACGTGCAGAGGGGTAAATCCTTTCTAGGGAGAAAGGGAGCCCCGTCACAGGGGGCACGGGGCCGACGGGAAGACGCCACAAGCGCGCAGCCCCATGTCCGGGTGGCGCCACACGGGGACACGGGACATATCATCCCCCTGTTCACAGCCCTGGTGAGGCCACATCTGGAGCCTGTGTCCTGTTCTGGGCTGTCCAGGACAAGAGGGATGTGGAGCTGCTGGAGAGAGTCCAGCGCAGGGTATGAGGATGATCAGGGGCCTGGAACATGTGCCCTGTGAGCAAAGGCTGAGGGAGCTGGGCCTGTTCAGCCTGGAGAAGATGAGGCTGAGGGGGGACGTGATCAGTGTCTGTAGATACCTCAAGGGAGGCAGTGAGGAGGAGGGGGGCGGCCTCTTTTCAGTGGTGGCCAGCGACAGGACTAGAGGAACCAGCCACAAGCTGAGGCACCAAAAGTTCCACAGGAGCTTAAGGAAACATTTAAATAACAGTGAGGGTGCCAGAGCCCTGGCACAGGCTGCCCAGAGAGCTTGTGGAGTCTCCTTCTCTGGAGATGTTTCAAACCCGCTTGGMCGCAGCCCTGTGCCCCGTGCTCTGGGTGCCCCTGCGTGTGCAGGGGATTGCACTAGATGACCTCTGAGGTCCCTTCCAACCTTAGGCATTCTGTGACTCTGTGATGAAAAGCGTCGCGGGCCGCATGGGGCTACCTTGGTCATGCAGGTCTGCGAGGCTCCTTTCTCGAGCAGGGCCAGCACGGTGTCCACGTGGCCCTCCCTGGCGGCGATGTGCAGGGGCGTGTGGCCGGCCGTCGTGGCCAGGTCGGGGTTGGCGCCGCTCTCCAGCAGGAGCTTCACCATGCTGGTGTGGCCGATGCGCGCCGCACAGTGCAGAGGGGTCTGGTCATCCTGGCAGGAAAGCGGGACGGGGTTGGTGGATCCCGAACCAGCGTCGGGACAGGGAGCTCCGGTCCTGTTCCCGGCAGGCAGGGTGGAAGGAGCAAGGGAAGCAGCTCCCGCGCTCTCTGCACCTACCTTAGCCTTGGCGTTGACTTTGGCTTGGTTCTGCAGCAGGTACTTTGCCACGTCCGTGTGCCCTGCTCGGGCCGCCATGTGTAGGGGGGTCTCCACCTTCTGCACCAAGGGAAGAACAAAGCCATGAGGCCGCTGCAGAGGAGATGCCTTCCTGCCTTCATTCCTCTGGTCCCCACGGGTGGCGGTACCTTGTCCCCACCTTGTCACGGCCCCTGCCTGCTGTCCCACAGGAGCTCCCCCAAGGAACGCCCAGGAGACCAGAGACTCTGGCACTCAGGGGCACGAGGAGCCCCCGCAGCCCAGCCAGGGTTGGACTCACCACGTTGGACACGTTGGGAGACGCTCCGCGCTGCAGCAGCGTCTTGACGATGGGCAGGTGTCCCATGAAGGCGGCCACGTGCAGCGGCGTCAGGCCGGACTGCGCAGGAGAGAGGACCCGAGAGCAAGGAAAGCTGAGGCCCTGGTGCACAGCCCCCCCAGCAGCCCTGCAGGGCACTTGAGGGGAGCACTGGGGGCTCTAAGAAGCTCTCAGCTCCAAGCAGGAGGGTGCTGCATGGTCACCAGGCTCCGCACAGGAGGTGGCAGGGGACAAGAGGGAGTCGCCGCCCCACTGACCTCCGTGACGGCGTCGATGGAGGCCCCCATTTTCAGCAGCAGCTCCATCACCCGCGTGTGCTTCTTCTTGCAGGCAATATGCAGGGGCGTGAAGCCGTTCTGCAGCGGGAGGGACGGAGCGGGTGAGGGAGCGATGCCCCTGGGAGCACCTCGCCCTGCTCCCCGCGGCCCCGTCCCGCCCGCCTTGGCTCACCAGCGCCCGCGAGTTGGGCTTGGCGCCCTTCTCCAGCAGCAGCTTGGCCACGCGGTGGTGCCCGCAGTGCGCGGCCACGTGCAGCGGCGTGAGGTGGTCCAGGGTGATGTCGTCGATCTCGGCGTCGTACTGYAGGAGCAGGCGCACGCAGTCCACGTGGTCGCCCTGCGCTGCCATGTGCATGGGCGACAGGCCGTTCTGCGGGCGGCGAGCGCGGCGTCAGGCGCGCGGGGCGGCTGCGCCGAGCTCGTCGCCCCGCCGGGACCTGACGCCAAGGGCCAGGCACCTTGGTTTTGGCTTGGATGGGAGCGCCGTGGTCCAGCAGGATCTCCGCGATGCGCACGTGGCCGTTGCGGGCTGCGCAGTGGAGGGGAGTCAGCTCGTCCTGGGGGGACAGGCGGGAGCGGAGGGGTCACTGTGGGCTGCATGAGCACCGCGGTGRGGGGGACTGAGGGCAGGGCTCCCTATGGACATGATGGGGAGTCTGCCCTGGGACCCAGCAGCYGTGTACCCCCCATCTCCGCACACACCAAGCAGTCTCCTTCAACCACCCGCTTCGTCCCCCCGGGACTTGCCGYGCGCGGAGCTGCCCTCACCTTGGTCCTCGTCTCGATGTGGGCCCCGCGGTCCAGCAGCAGCCGCACCATGATGATGTTCCCGCGGCGGGAGGCGATGTGCAGGGGCGTGATGCCGTTCTGGCGGGAGGAAGGACCGTGTGAGAGAGGGAGCAGCCCCTTCCCTTGCCCCGTCTATCCCCGCTGGCCGCTCCGGGCAAGTCGTCGTGCCAGCGCTTTCCGCAGGGTCCCGCCTCGTCGCCCCTTCCCCGCTGCCCGCGCGGTGGCCGCCGTGGCCTTGCACTCACCTGCGGCGTGAAGTTGACGCTCGCTCCGCGGTTCAGCAGCAGCTGGGCCACGTTGAGGTTCTCATAGTGGGCTGCGATGTGCAGCGGGGTAAACCCGGTCTGGGGGAGAGCGGGAGGCATCAGACTAGCCAGACACACGCCAAGGCGGCCAAAGTGGCCCCGCGAGCGGCTCTTCCCCCCGGGGGTGCCACCTTGGAGAGGACGTCGGCGTTGGGGTCGTTCTGCAGCAGCACGGCGGCCGTGCGGGTGTCGTCGTTGCGGGCCGCGATGTGCAGCGCGGGCAGGCGCACCTTGCCCTTGGTGCCGTAGTTGATGAGGTGAGCCACCACGTTCTCGTGGCCCTGCTGCAGAGCCACGGCCAGCGGCGTGAAGCCGTCCTGCGTGGGAGAGAGGCGGTGAGGGGAGCGAGGCCGGCGAGCGCCGCGCTCCGGGGTCCTCCCCGGGCCTCACCTCCGTTGCCACGTTCTGGTTGGCTCCGTTTTCCAGCAGGAACTTGACGACTTCCAGGTGGTTTTCCTGCGCCGCCATGTAGAGGGGGGTGAAGCCTTTCTGCAAACACAGAGCCGCCGTGTCGACACAAGCAGCCGAGGAACCCCACTCCTCTCCGCATCCTTCCCTCCTCCGCTTGCTCACACTCGCTCGCGCTCTTCCAAGAACCCAAAGAGGATCAGGGAGAAGCAGCCCGGACGCCCCTACCTGAGACTGTGCRTTGACGTTGGCCCCATAGTTCACCAGCTCCTGGACCACTTTCTCCTGTCCAGCCAGGGCAGCGATGTGCAAGGCTGTATTCCCCTTCTGAAAGACACCGGGAAGCAGCACATGATGCCGAGGAAGGATGGGCGCTGGTKCAAGCAGAGCCATGGAGGCCACGGCGCAGGGAGCCTCCAGCGCCGTTTGCTGGCCATGCAAAGCGGTCTGGCAAGCAGAGCCAGGGGCTCCTGCGACGCTGGCCTTGGGGGCCAGGGAAGCGGCTCTGCAGCAGGGCCAGCCGGGCTCCGTCCCACGCGCGGCTCCCTGCAGACAGCGCGGGCGCTGCCCGTGCACCCGCCCCGCACCTCCGTGCAGCCCGCGCCGAGCCTGCGCCGATGCAGGGTGACAACTATTGATTATCTCTGGGCCACCAGCATGTGCAGCAGCTTGCAGTGCAGTTCACCAGCTACYGCTGGTGCACGCGGCGGGGCGGCGAGCAAGGGCGCGAGCCTCCCTCCTCCTCACCTTGGTCGTCGTCTCCAGCACGATCTCCTTGTGCAGCAGCTCCGTCACCATCTTCACGTGGCCCTCCTTGGAGGCCAGGTGCAGCGCGTTGAGCCCGTTCTGCAGGGAGCGGCAGCGGGAACGCGGCGTGAGCCACGTGCTGCGGCCGGCAGCGCGTTCGGGCTGCCTGCGGGAGAGGATCCTCCCGCGCGCAGAGCACGCGGCTGCTCCCTGGGGACAGGCATCGCTGCAACCCGCTTCGGGACCCGGCCCCTGCTCCCCGGGATGCTCCCGGGCCCCTCCGGCTCCTGTCTTGGCAGAAGCGGCTTTCCTGGGATCGTCAGTCCTCTCCTCGTCAACAGCTGCCTATYAGTGCCGCTCGGCAAATCCAAGGCACAGGGAGGGGAGGCAGCGGAGCCGCACACCTCCAAACCTTCCCATTTCCCATTTCACTGCAGCGAGGGGCGTCCCGGGGCCGTTCCCACATGCGCCCCAGCCTAGCCCTCCTTTTCCTGAACTCCGAGSGCGGATTGGACCTGCCAGCATCCCCAGTGAGCACAGCAGGGACAGCTTCTCCCCTGCTGTTGATGGGAAGCCCTTCCCCACCCAGAGGCATGGAGCAGGCTGGCACGCGTGTTGGAGAAGAGGTTAAACCCTCACGGGCAATTTCGAGTGACACTTTTCCGCCCCCACGGGACACTTCCCGCGTGTCTCACTTCTYCCGGGTGGATGTGCTCAGCTCGCTCAGCCCTGTGGAGCTCTGTGACGCAGCACGGAGCTGCCCGTCCTGTCAAGACCCAACCTCCCAACCATCTGTCCCTGTTGCTGCAGTGCCCGGCAGGTCGCGGAGATGCTTCCATCCCACCTGCCTATGGGCAGGGGGGCAGCAAGAGCTCAAGGGGACTCCTGCAGCACCTCAAACAGCTTCAAGAGTGGCCTCTCACACTGGAAAAAACGCTTTCTACCTGCCTCTCATATGTCCTTCTATAAAAAAGATCCCTAAATAACCTCTTGCATCCCGCAGACCTGCACGGAATGGTTATTTGATGGCAGCACAAGCGCAGCGTTCGCAGAAGACTGTTTCCTGTCATCTTTCTGCTTCAGGAACATTGCAAGCTGTTTTGGATGTTTCCTTGGGCTTGACAGCTCATCTGACCCAACACGTCCCCAGGACGTGCCCTCATTTCCACGGTGCTGCATTGCCCTCCCTCARTGCTGCAAACACCTCCCAAAACTCCCGGTTTCTGGCTGCCCGTGCAAGAAACTCAGCCCCACGGAAGACACAAGCGATGGGGCTCTGGGTGAGATGGGAGCGGGAATGTGGGAGGTGGGCGAGGATGAGGATGCAGGTGCCAGCAATGATAAGGATGAACTCGGCAGGATGAAGATCAGATGGCATGTCAAGGTCTCTGCATTTGTGCAAGAATACAGGGCCTGTGGGATAGGTCTGACCACATATATCCCTCTTTATTCTATACAGGACATGTGAGGTTGGACCTTTCCCACAGGTCTGATATTCCTCAGATGGAAACCCCAAAGTGCCATCTAACCACTGCAGGATGGCAGGAACCCGTGCAAGGACATGTGTGAGAGAAGATTGAACACCCGCCAGGGTGTCCAATGCCATCACCAGCTCCGGGCAAGARCAGCTCTTCATTCCAAAATAAAGGGTGACAACCTGGGAGATCCCGCCTGCTTCTGAGGCCGCTTGGTGCAAGCGGGCGCTGTGGTCGGTGCTGGGTCCGGTGCAGTCCTGCAGCCCAGCGCATCGTTGGGCTTCTCCTCTTTGCCAACCACACTTAAACGCACATGGCCACGGGGCTCGAGCCTCCGTCCCGCACACAGGAGCCAGAACCTCATCCTTAAAGGACTATGAAACTGAAAAGTCTCTGCTTTTATTCCCTGCAGGACCCCTCTGTCTTAAACCCCGCATAATCTGATGGTAGGAGCCTCTATGATTCCATCCGTGCTGATAACACACATTAATAATTCAGACAACACAGCGAGGAGAGAACGCTCGGCATCTCTTGATCTTTCTCCAAAGCCCTTCGCGTGCCCCAGGGGGCACAGCTCAAGCTGCAAAGTGCCCCAGAGGCTTGCAAAGCTCAGCACGGGCACGGCCCCGCCGCCTGGGAAGGGGATGGAGACGTTGCCAGGCAGAACCTGCCTGCAGGACCTGCCCCAGCCGCTGCAGCGCTAGGAACGAGCCCGGGACGGTTGAGCGCAGCTTTGTGCCCCGCGWACACCTCCGACCCGGCCCAGCTGCAGCAAAACCGCCGCACGACGAGGGAATAACCCCCACAACGAATCCTGCCGCGTGCGAGGCCCCGTGCTGCTCCCTGCGCTGCCACCCGCTCTGCAGCACCAGGGCACAAGGAGGGATGCGGTGGCCGGAGGAGCCACAGGCTGGCCCGGATGCACCAGGACTAGAGAGGAGCCCCCATGGGCTTCACCTACCTGGTTGCAGGTGTTAATATCTACCCCATTCCTGAGGTGGTCCAGAGCTTTGTCCAGGTTCCCGGATCTGGCAGCTCGCAGAAAACTGGTTGCAGCATCGGCCTTTTGGGGGGAAAACAGAGGAAAAAGTGTGAGACTCAGAGCCGCCTCGTTCAGCCCCAGCGGGAACCTGCTGCTCCCTCCAAGGCTCCCACCCGCCCTGCATCTCCAGGGGCTGAAAGGGGACCTGGAGGGATGCTCCTTCTCGTGGTCTCCCAGCTAGAGCCCAGCCAGGGAGCACCGGATGGCTTCACATTTGTGGTTAACCCCATGGGGAGATGCAGCTGCTCCTCTCGCTGCTGCGGCAGAGGATTCGAATCCCCGGTTCTGCAGGGCCTGCGGAGGCAGAGCCCAGCTGGCCCCCGGATGCCTCTCGCGGGGCTGCGAGCACAGGGACAGCCCYGAGGCAACGCAATGCGCCACCAGGCTGTGTCCCCGGGCCCTGCGGGACGTCACGCCGCGGCGGGAGCATCCCCAGACAGCAGCGAGACCCCACCGGAGCATGAGAAGCCCTCTCGTGTGCCYGTGCCGGGCTGCCGGCTCCCAGACAAGGGGCTGCAAGCCGCAGGGCCGCGGAGCGGGCGGGCGCCGTGCGGCCCCTCCTGCCCCTGTCTGCGGCCACGCTCGCTCACACGGGGCCGTGGCTGCAGGACGCGGGTCCCGCTCCCCTCCGCCTGCGCCCCGCGGCCCAGCCCTCCTGCTCCCGCCTCTCCTGGCAGAGCCCCGGGAAGAGCCCCCGGTGCCCGGCGGGCTCTGCGGGCGCGGGGGGCTCCCGCGGGGCTCCGGGCTGGTGCCGCGACGCGCGGCGCTTGCCCAAGGCCGGAGCTCTGCATCCCGGGTGGGCGCCGCAGCTCCACCACAGGAGCGCCAAGCGCAGCCCAGCGGCTGCTCCCGGCCCCACCGAGGAGCCGACGGATCCGGCTCTACGGGGCTCCGGCGGCAAAGGGGCTCCCGAAGCCCCAGCGCGCCCAGCAGCCGAGACCACGGGCAGAAAGCAAGCGGAAAAGCAAGGGGAGGTCTCTTGGGGCCCCGAGAAGTGCCTGGTATACTCACAGCCACGTCTGGACCGGACCTGCCCTTTCGTGCTGCCATAGTCCGGCACTTCAGCTGAAACCTGAGCCCGCCGTCCCCTCTGCCCCTCCTTGGTTATCTACTCCCCGGCTTTGAGAGCGCCAGTACATTGCATTGCATTCTGGCTAAAAATACAGGCTCCCTCTCCTCGCCCCGGCGCAGACCCTGGAGGGATCGCCAGCCGCTAATGGAATTTCTTCATTTTCTCTCCATTACTGTGTCAGGCGGGATATTTAATACGCAGCCACCTCCGGAAAGCAGATGACGGCTGCCAAGTGCAGGGAGCCACCCGGGAAGGCAGGTGCCCGCTTGGGAAGAGCGGAGGGGAGCTGCCCCGCGGACCCCATCGGGTAACCCGCGTGCCCCCCGGTCCGCCAGGTTTGGGGACCCGTGCGAGCGTGGAGAGCGTTGGGTGCCTCGGGCGCCCTTCGGGTCCCCGGGGTCGGGGCTGCTCGGAGCGCTCAGCCCGCGCGGGCAGCCGGAGGAGACGGGCTCACACGGCCGAAGCCGAGGAAAGCGCTCGCCAAGCCCGGCCGACGGCAGCCACCGCCAGCCCGGCCGCGGGAGCAGCCGCGGGGACCCCCTTTGGAGCCGGGAGCCTCCTCGGCTCGGCCCGAAGGAAGCTGCAGCAGCGGGACACGGAGGCGCCCGCCGCACCGCGGGTATGCGCGGCGGAGGGGCGGCACAACGCGCGCGGCCTGGAGCGCAGAGCCCGGCACCCCCCGTGCACCCCTGGGTGCTCACACACACACACACACACAAACGCACATGGGCAGCAGCCGCTCCAGATGCAGGGGATGCAGCCCTGCCTGCGCCGCGCGCCGCGCTCCCCTTCTCCTTCGCCTCCCGAGCAATGTTCCCCGGGAAGGAGCGATTCCCAGGGGAGAAGGCAAACTGCCCTTCTTGCCCTTGTTTGCGCAAGTGCTGCCTGGCGCGCGCAGGTGCCGTGAGGTGGCAGGATGCTGKTCCCAGCAATTCCCACAGGGAAAAGCCCCCGATTTGCCATTTGCAAAGTGCTTCAAGCCTTTCTAAAGCAAAAACCATASGAGGGCACGTCAGGCTGTGCTTCTCGTCTCCTTCCCTTCCTTTTCTTCCAGGAAACTGCCCGCCTTGTCTCCTGACAATCTAGATCTTCCCTCGTCTCCCTCCTTGCCCTGGTTTGGGGTGCCCTGGCCGCAGGTGCCCTGCTGCTCTCGCAGCCCTGCTCGTGCCATAATAAACCAGGAGGACCTGGTGGAGCCCCTTGCATGGTGCCGGCACCCAAAGCAACGTCTAAAGGGAGATTTCTGCMAGGAGGAGAGCCCCGGATGGGTCTCGGCAGCTCGGCAATGCTCTGCTTGTCTCCTGGCCATGCTCAGGGTCCTGCTCGCGCCCCCACCCAGGGAGGAGCCCCCTCTGCGCGGGGCTGATAAGGCAGGAAGGATAAGGATAAGGCTGCTATGACAGGCAGGCGTGTTTATCGGTCCCCGCGGAGCCGTTCCGCACGTGCCGCCAAACGCTGGATGTTGATGATTCCCAAGCGGAAAAAAAAAAAGAGCTCGGACACCCGGGGCAGCCTCATGGCGCTTTCTGCATCCCTGAGGATGCATCCCTCCTTGCAGAGGAGATGCCCACACTCGTCTCCCTGCATCCCGGAGGGGAGGGATGCAGGGAGACGAGTGTGGGCATCTCCTCTGCAAGGCTGGGCACACGGGTGGCTGCCCATGACTGTAAAACCATGGGAAGAACCGAACTGGAGTCATTGCCACGGCCGGGGAGTTGGAGCCTGCTCCGCTGCCAAGCCGAACGGGATGCAGAGCGGGCCATGGTCTCCCTGTGATGCAGCAGAAACCCGGCTGGCCCCGGCACCCTGCGGGCCGGGATGTGCAAACAGYCCCCGGAGCGCACGGGAGGGCAGCGTGGGGCTGCAAAGGGACAGCGTCCAGCAGCAGAGCCCAGCAACGGGCACGGCCGCGACGCCGCGTGCTGCTCCGGGCATCCCGCCCGGGCTGCATGCAAAGATCCCGACCAGATCCCAGGGACTTCTCRGGAGCCGGAGCTCATGCAAACCTTGCAGCCATCGCATTGCCAGAGCAGCAGGTAGTAATCTGCACCCTTTATCATGGGAAGAATACGTCAGCCCTGGAAATGTGCCGGCTGCCAAGCTCAAAAGCAGTCAGATATGTCCCCATCGGGGGACACCGGGGGCACCAAAGCAGCGTTTCGAGTCAAAATGCCCAGAAACAAAAGTCGCAGCGCGTTTGCCTTGCCCGAGTTCCTTCCCCTCTCTGCAGGCACAAAAATTCCACCCTCCCAGCGGTCCCTGACGCAGGGAATAAAGCCCTGCGGCAGGATCCTGCCTGCTGGGGCGAAGAGGGACTCGGCAAAGCCCGCGTGCCCACGCAGCAAGGCCCGGGGCAGGCGGGCGGACGAGCAGGGGCGAGGGAGCGCACATGAAAGGGAGAGCAGCAGCCTCGGGAAAGCTTGTGGGATCAAAGGGAGAATGCCAACACGCGGACGCGGCGCGGTCGCTGTCCTCGTGCCTGGCCTAAATGATGCGGGGACGGCTCTGGCTTAACAGGGCTCGCGGAAGCGAAGGCAGCGGCGAGGAGAGCACGGGGCGCTCGGCTTGCGGGGCCGGCGGCGTCTCGGGCGCTTCGCAAGTAGCGAAGAAGAGGGCAGGTTTCCAAGCGCAGCCGCCTCTCCGGAGCCTTTCTCATGCAGCAGCCTTCACCGTTACATAACACTGGGTCCCTAGCTTGGAGGAACCCCGATTTTTGTCAACAAGAGGGGTGGCCCTGGGATGTCACTGGTGGTGACAGCACTGGGTGGGGGGCACTGAGCACGTTCGTGTCCTGCTAGCGGTGTCCCCGTGTCCTGCAGCGGGGCCCGGCACGCGCAGCGGGGAGCTGCCGCGCGCCTTTGATGTGAGCAGGAGCCTCTGCTCCCTGCACATCCTGAAAAAATAAAAAGAAAAGCTATTTTTAACCTCACCCGCAAGTATAGCGGCTGCTGCTGAAGACAATTCGCCCGAGCCTGGCGCTCAGACACCCAACCTCTTCTTGCAGCCGGAGAGGCTCGCAGAGCGCTGCAGCCCATAGGTGACTGCCTGATCTCATCTCCCCGTTCCCTAATGCGCTTTGTTCCCTGGATCACAGCGCAGCTCGGTGGGCCGGGATGCTCGGGAGCGCTCAAGCGGGTTGCAMTGCGGGAGGGAAAAGCAGAGCCCTGCGAGTCCCAAAATGCTGCCAGAGCCCGGCCTGTTCCCCGGCGGAGGAAGCGTCCTCCTCGTTTTTAGGCTTGCTCCTAAGTTTTGCAGCCTGCCTCATCCTCGGCTTCGGCTTAAGGGCTAGTCCACAGGGCTCTGCTTGCCACATGGCTTGGACCCACGGGGTAGCGGCGGTCGGCCCGGCCAGCGCGGGGCTTGCATCCTCCAGAAGCCATGCAGGGAAGAGAGCATTCCAAGAGAAAACGGCCCCTGGAGCAACATATTCCTGCCCGCTTCTCCTTGGCAGGGACACGCAAGCGCGAGCGGAGGCACCCGCTGCTCCGCGGAGCTGGGGCGGCACCGTGCCCAGGAGGAAACGCCGTTCCGGACACCTGGCCCAGCGCTTCGCTGGGCAAAAACAGACACGGCAGCTCAAAAACCAGCACTTACCATTAGAACAGAGCCAAGACACGCGCCGTGCTGGGAGGCGCCTCCCGTCTCCCAGCAAAGCAGTGCGGAGAAGGACAGAGAGGAGCGCTGCAGCGCGGGGACGCTGCCCCGAACGTGACTTTGCCGGGTCCCCAGGGACTACCCGGGCAGCAGAGCCATCCTGGTGCCCTGCGTGCCGCTGCAAATGCAGCGCGGGCTTGGAAGGAGCTGCTGCCCGCCTCGGCGGGCTCGCGCGCGTCCCCGCGCCYCGCGTACTCACCCGCGCGCAGCGCACACAGGCCATGGCTGCAGGCGGCGGCCGGGCRCGCCGAGTGCCGCCGCCGGCCGCCGCGGCGCCTTATCAGCGGCGGCCCGAGCCCTATCGCCGGGCGCAGCGGGGACGCGCCCGCCTGGGCGCCGCTGATTGCGGGCGCCCGCCGGACGGGGAGCCCACGGGGCGGCRGGACGCGGCGCCGGCGGGTGCCGCACCGGGAGCTGGCGCCGGGCAYCACCGCTGCCCCTTGCTCCGAGCGAGACCAGCGCGCTGTCCCGAAGCTTGGGGACCCTCAGGAGGGACCCAAATGGCAAATAGGGGCTAGTGGCAGCAGCTCCGGGCCCTTTGCGGGGCCAGCAATGCAAGGAACGCGCCCCTTTCCCCCCTTCTACCTGCGCAGCAGACTCCTGCTCCAGCAGCCCTTCGGGAGATCCTTGCTTGCAGCAAGAAGGCAAGGGGTCCACAGTGGCTGGCGCATGCCCTCTCTGAAAGACACGCGAGGAGTCACACCAATTGCTCATAGGAATTCCTACAAAACAGCCCAGCCCGCCACTGCCAAAGCCGGTACCGGCTGGGAGGCGGAAAAAGGAAAAAAAATAATAATAAAAAAGGAGACCAGGACAGCCTGTTGAGAAAGGAAAAAAAAAAATGCCTTGCATGACGTCGGGGTGTTTTTGAATAACTGAGCAAGTGCCAGCGTTAGAGCAAAGGGGAATCCTTACCTCGGCCTAAGGTAAACGCCTCCCCCTTGTCCAGCGCAATTCCTGGGRTCCCTTGGATGTTCAGCCTGCCAGCCCCAAGCTGCACTGTGCCCAAGYGAGGGAACCAGGGAGCAGAGCCGCGGGGACGGTGGCACCCAGCGGTGACCCCAGGGTGCTCGAGAACCCGGAGCCCAGCAGAGCTCTGGTTAACGCACGGAGCTGCGAAGAATGAGGAGCTCTAAAACCCAAGAGCTCTTTACATGTCCACTAAAACCCCTCGAGAGCTGAAGTTCCTGGGCTGTTCCCAAGCATTTTCCAGCCTGGCTTCTCCCTCCCGGCATCTGGGAACGTCGCTTTAGAGGCCACAGGCTGGTGTGGTGCTGGCCCCACTAAAGCCAATGCAGAGCTAAGGCAGAGCTTACCGGGGAGGACGGGGTTTCAAGGAAATTCTCAAGGAAGGAGCCAAGACAGGGTGCAAAACAGCGGAACCCGCTGGCACCCCGAGGGGCGCCGGGGCAGCTTTGCCAGCAGGGCTCCCCATCTCCCTGCTGTTGGGTGATAGAAGAGCTGTCGGACACATGGGGAAGAAATCACAGAGTGGCTGTGGGAAAGGGCTGAGCACCCCCAAACCACGAGCCCCCCCCGCCGCTGTAGGCAGAGCGACGCCGCTTGTCAGCGGCGAGGAAGAGGAGGAGGCCGGCGAGGAAAACGCCTTCCCCAGCCACAAAGAGTTTTGTCCCCTCCAAGCCACAGAGTTCCGCCCCTGACCTTTCCCCGGGAGCCTCGGGAAGAGGCCTGCGGCTGATGTGGCCGCCGAGGAATGCGCGGCRCCTTCTTCTGCGCTGTTATCTCCGCGTAACCAGAGACGGGATCCCCGGCGCCGGCGGCTCCGCTCCCGGCTGCCACTCCATCCCCGGCTGCTCCTTTCCCTTCCCCGGAGGCGTGCRGGTTCGCGGCGCTGCAAAACGCTGCTGGGCAGCAGCCGCTGAATTATTTACCCGCCTTGGCACTTGTGCTGCTGCCCGGGGCTGAGTAACGGGCAGTGGTGGCACACGACKGGAGAGGCGGGATGGGGACAGCGCGTGAGATCCCTGCGCCCTTGGGCATCTGCTCCTCAGCTTCCTGAGGGAAGGGGAGCTGTGCAATGGTGCGGAGAGGGGCAGGGCTTTCCGTGCATGGATTTTCCAGCCCGTGCTCTCTTCCTGCTTCCCCCAACTCCTTTATGGAGAGGAGAGAGTGGGGGGAAAAAAAAGTGCCAGTTTAATAAGTACATCTACCCAAAGCACTCAGGAAAAACAGCAGCCGGCAGCATGACACGGATGATGACCTGTAGGAAAACAGATGGATCGGCCAATCCTGAGGGCAAACAGTATCCCCTAGCTTAGCTGGAATTGCCAAAAAATCCCAAATCAGGGGAAAAAAGCAGGTAAGTCAGGGTTTGGCACGGTGCTCTCCACAGGGGCCAAGGGCATTGCTCAGTTCCTGCTTACGGTGCAAGTTCCTCCTGTGCCCAGGCAGCTGCCAGCCCGGGAGGCACAAGGCTCCCCGGGGCCTGCGCTCCATCGATCCGGCGCATCGATCCCGCCGCGGCCCCGCTGCAGCGGAGAAGCCCGCGGAGCCGCCGGGGCCGCGGAGCCGCCGGCGCTGCGGCGCAGACGGGCATCCTGCGCCAGCAGATGGGCGCGCGCTGCCGCCTGGCGCCGCGCGGCCACCGAGCCGTCTGCTCCGCTGCCGCCTCCGGCGCCGGAGCGGGCAGGGGGGCGGCCCGGAGAACGCGCCGCCCGCTCCGCCGTCCCGCAGCCTTTGCTCTTCCTAACGGCCGGATCCGAAGCTCCGGGGAGGAGAAGTTCGTGCGCGGAGGTCTGGGGAGCGAGCCGCGTTCCCGCTGCTCCCAGCAGCGCCCGAGCCCTCGCGCGCCAAGACACCCGCGCATTTCCCGTCACCTCGCTGAGCCAAACGCCTCCCTGCAGGCACATCCACCCCCTGTCGCYACTGATTGATTGATTTCTCAAGCACCCCAGAAGACACAACATAAACTTCGCTTAAGAACCCGGCCCCTGCACTGGATCCCACTCAATTAAGCAGCTTGCCCCTTTCTCCGATTCCTGCAATATTTTGCAAACCAGTTTGGCAGAAAAAAAATTAAAAAAAACCCAAATCCACTTGCAATCTTCAACCCCGTGAGTTCCAGCACAAGATAATTAATGAATGATTCAGAAGAGACGTGCACATTTCTGTCGTATGCCCACAGCCCTTGCTCTCGCCGCGCGGCGTTCGGGATGATTTCATCTCATAGTAGCTTTTCCAAAGGTTTAATTGAATTACATAAGATGCCTCGGGATGAGGGAAGCAGAGTCCCAGAAACGCTGGCACTGCTTAGCGCGAGGCTGAGGAGAGGAGCGAGGACAGAGCCCCACTGACCCGTCGGCCAGGAGCCAACAGGAGATGCCCAGGGCCATGGGAGAAGGAGGAACCGCAACCCCGACCTTCATGGATCCTCCTAACCTGGGAACCGGAGGTCCCTGCAAAGCCAAGAGGCCCCGTGCAGCCTTTCCCAGTCTGGGAGCTGGGAGATCCCCGTCCATTCCCACCTGGGAGTGTTGGGATAGAGGGACACGGATGGGTTGCTGGCCCCTTGGTTTCCCCCAGCCTTCCAGGACATGCCGTGACCCAGGAGCGAGTGGGAGCTCGTGGTTTCTGGGTCGCCCTTCCCTGCTATAGACGCTGGAGACCTCRTGCTTGCCGGTGGTGGGACCAACGCTCTTGCTCCCAACCCAACATCCAGCTCCATGTTGCAGGGCATCGCGCTGGGCAGCGGCTTCGGAGGCAGCAAATCACACCTGGGGAGCAAGAGGCGACCCCAAAGTGGTCCCTCTTTGCTCTCCCCTAGGTCCGAGAGCTTCGCCGGCCGAGCTGGGTTATCCATAAGGAATGAATAGGAAAAGTGTCCCCTGCGCTAAATGGTTCCGAAACAGGAGATGGCTCCGTGACGCATCCCCGTCACCGCAGGAGCAGGAGGAGGCTCCAAACRACAAACAGGCTGCGAGCTCCGGGAAAAGAAGCGAAAGAGAGAAGGGAACCCCAGTGATCAGTCCCGCTTGTAGTTTCCTCAAGTTCTTCATATTTTTGGTAATTCAAGAGGACTAATTTCTCCCTGCCTTCCCCCTGCAGCCTTTGGAGGTGCTGCCACCGTTGGCTGTGCGTTACCGTGGGTCTCATCATGGACAGGGATGAGTTCCCAGGCACCAAAAACGGCTTTTTTTGGCCCACATGGCCCCTCAGCATTGAAGGGCGGCAGATACCGGGTGCCAGGTGAGGCTCAGGCCTCTAAACCTGAAATACTCCTGTGCCAAAGACCCCGACCACGGAAGGGAATTTGTGGAAAGGAAAGCTGGGAAGCAGATCCATAACCTCCCCAAGGCACACGGAGAGAAAACCTGATATCAAAAGCCAATTAGAGAAGTTCTCCTTAATGAGAGCTGAAGCATCACCCCCTCCTGCCATGGTCCCTGTCAGCTTGAGCACTTCCATCTACAAGACAAATGGAGGAGGAGGAAAAACCCTCTTTAAGGACACGGATGTTGGACGTTTTAAGGACACGCGGAGGGCAGGGATCCGCGCTGCCGCCGTGAAGGGGGCAGGTGACACGGGACGGGGCTGGAAGGGGGTCTGCATGGAGCCATTCACAGCGTGGTTTCCCAATGGTCATCCTAGTCTGGATTCTGTGCCACAACCACCCAGTCCCGGTTGTTCCGAGCAGGGCATCGTGCTGGGGCTGAACACACCCCGAAGGCCCCACGAGTTTCCCCAAAGGTATCTGRAAACCTGGGATATCTGGTCAAGCAGCTGCAATAGGTGCAGTTACTCCTAGTTCCTTCAAAGGGAACATCACACATCATAGACCTAACACAGTTTATATAACACCCTTGGAGGCCCAAGGCATCACCTCCGGCTTCCCGGCGTTTCCCAAGCAAGAGGCCCAYGGACACCTCCTGCAAGCCCCGCGATGCCCCGACATCACCTTGCGGGACACAACCACAGCCCTGGCTTCCACTTCCTCTCCTCCCGCAGCGCCGTTTTCCTTAACCGGGAGGCTCGGCGGTGACCTGGCCACGCAGCCGCGCCTGCACGCGCCCTCCTTCCCTCTCCGCTCCTCTCGGGATAAATATAGAAACCTCATCTGTTTTCCCAGCGCTGTCCTGCTGCTGCATTCTCAGCCTCGCCGCCCAGGAGCCACCCGGGTGGCTACCTGCCGCGTTGCAGGGATTTCTCCCGCCCGGCTTTAGCGCGGCCCCCCTGCTCCCGCCTGGAACCGCGCGGCTCCCGCTCCGCGTTGCGGCTACTCAGCAGAATTCGCCGCGCGGACCGCCRGGCAGATTGGATTCTGCTGCTGTCGGCAGCCCTGGGGCTCGGAGCGTGACGCGGTTCGGATGGGGATTTGGAGGGGGCTCCGGAGGGCGTTTCGAGGCCTGGGTGCGGAGATTGGAGCAGGACGGGGGAGCTGGACACCCCTGCAGCCCCCCGGCCGCCGCTCCCRGCGATGCTGCAGGCACGTTTAGGAAGAACCTTGACACACTTAGACAATTAAGCCAAATGAGCAGAATTCAGACTCAACTGCTAATTTTAGCGCTCTCCAAAGCCGCTTCCCTTTGATGTCGGCTGCCGCGCGCGGGTCTCTGCTGCAGCGCCCCAGCCCGCTCCCCGCAGCCAAGACGCAGCCGCGCCGGGGGGACCGGCCCCTGTCCTCCCCTTTCCACACACCACGAGGTTTCCAATGCTCCCGGGGCCGCTCCAGGCTCCCRGTATCTGCCGGGGTCACTCGGAGCACCCTGGGCACCGCTGCCTGGGTAATTCGGCAGCCTGGCACCAGCATCCTTGCACGCCCCGGTGCGAAGGAGCACGGAGAGCAGCCAGATGCCGGTGCCATCTCCCTTCCTGCACGGGCCACAGGCCTGCTCCGTATTTATTAATCTGCTCTGAGACGGAGGCCTGAATCTCCCCAGGGTGCAGCCGGCTGACGTCACCCCCCCCAGATCCTGCTGGGACTTGTGTCCCTGACAACCTTGGCGGAGCCCGAGGGGGTCACGGTCACCTTGGGTCCCCGCAGAGCTGCTCCTGGGCAGCAGGGAGCACCGAGGGTGCCAGGGGCCCCGGCTGCAGCGCGCTTGTGCCTGCAAAGCCAGACCTGCCCTGCGAGCAGGGTGTTTGCAGCCCAGCAGATGCAACAGCAAACTRCTGCCTTGAGTCCAATGCACGCAGAAACCATGGGGGGAAAAAGCCTTAAGATAGTCCTTTGGTTTGGAAAAGGCTTTTTGCAAGCCCATGTAACTGCAGGGTTGCTGAGTCTCCAAGCCTTTGCTCCRTGTCCCTTTTCCCTGCCACTGAGCTCTGGCATCATCCACTTCCACGGAAGGGGTCTGCAGACCCTGTGTGGGTCTCCATGTGGTTCTGGCAACTCCACAGCCCTTTTCCCTGCTCAGCTTCTCCTCCCAGGTGCTCCTCCGTGCAGGACCAGCTAATGGGACTGCTGACCCCCATGAGTCTCCCACTGAGCTTCCCCTCCCTGCTCTTCCCGAGCCGCTGAGGACTCCAATTCCCTGCTCTTTTGTGGGCACAGCCAGAACCAACTTGAAGATCCAAGTCCGAGGCAGCGAGAGCAGCCAGGAAAACCTCCTGGCTCCGCTGCTCCAGCATCCGCAGTGCTGCCCGCTCCACCCTGGGGCCGAGCCAAGCTGAAACCGGGCAGCAGGAATTCTGGCTCATCCRGGGCTGCTCTGAGCTCTCTGCAGCCCAGGGCTGCTGAAACCCTTTGCTCTTGTGCCCAGTGCTCTGCTGTGGCACCTCCGAAGGTGCCCGCTTGGTGACGGCCCTTGCAAAGGCGAGCACAGCCGTAGCCTTGGCCGCCTCTCCTCGTCTCCGCGCTGCTCGCGTGGTTCTCATGGACCTGTCCGCATTTCGCCCGGAGCCGGAGCTTGGCCTGGGGATTCTCACCGGAGAGCRGCGGAGCTCCCGGCTGGTCCCAGTTGAGCCCAGTCACTCCGTGCGGCCGCCGGCGATTCCCCGCGCCTCGGACGCGTCGCCGCTCCTCTGCCCGCCTGAGCCGGTGGCTCTTGGGCCAAAGCTCATTCTCTCTAAGGCAGAAGAAGGGTTTTTATGCAAAAAAAAAAGAAAAAAAAAAGAGCACCCTTGATGGCCATCTGGGATCCAGCCTGTCTCCCTGCTCACCTCAAATTGGGCTTTCTTCTGAAAGCCAATGCCACTTTTATTCACTGTTGTTCCTTAAGAAATTTCACACTGAAGAATAGAAACAGTCTCTCAGCTCTGCTTGCTCCATCCTATCCTTCCATCCGGAAAACTTCCTCCTCGGGAGTTCCTGCCCAGCAGCAAAGCCCCGCTCCGCCTCTCCTCTTCTCCAACCCTGCCTGGATTCTGCTCGTCTCCCCTCTCCGAAGCATCCCTCCCGACACAGTGGAGGGGAGATGCAAGAACACCTATAGATGTGGAGTGAGGAGCCCTCCTAGCTGCCGCTTGGCAAGTTCTCCAGCAGCAGGGAACTTGTATTACCGAATTCATAGTCTGCTTGCTCTGTCRCATCTGCCACCAACCTACCCTGTTATACCTTATAATCTGGACACGCATCCCGGGAAATCACCCCTGAGCTCTCATTGTCTGCTTCGGATGCGATGGGAGCACAGGAGGAGTGACAGGATTGTGTGCATGGACCAACCCTGTGCTGGGGACACAAGTGACAGGGACACAACAGGGACAAGGACAAGGTGCTTGCTTCATTTTCGCCACACAAAACCCGAGGAATTGCCATGGAAACTGAAAAAAAAAAAAGCAACAAATATAATCCTGGCCCCAAGGAAAGGTTTGGGGGCAGCGCAGGATTAAGYAGCAGGACTCGTTGCCTTCGGGTATAACTGGGCAAAAGGGACTGCAGGATTCAGTGCTGGTGCACAGAGCAGCAAGGAGGCACATAAAACCACACCAAAACAACCAGAAATGCTAAAGGATGCAAAACTCCTGCTCCAGGGCATAACATCAGCTTGCACAGGATGGGAATAAACTCATTCCGGGGATGTTGTCTCCTTCCTTCATCTCTGCTTCAGGGGAGCATCCCCTTGGATCACGCGCTGCTCCTCCGGCATCAACGCAAAGTGCATTGCAGTGGCGCACAGCGGGACTGGCCGTAAATCGAGATCCGGACGTGCCGGATTAACCAAATTCACGGTTTCTGCCCCAGAGAGCCTGCCTGCCTGCATTGCAAAGTGAGGGACAGGAGCCGGGCACCCACCGTTTTCAGTGCACCCGGACTAGCCCATGTGGACCCCCCGCAGCTGCTGTAGCACAAAATATAATAAAGGAAAAATAAATTCAGATGCATTTGCCAGCATCCGGGGGATGCTAACAAGGAGACCGGCAGGATAAAGTGCTTGGGCAGCTTCACTGCTGCAGAAGGGGCAGCTAAAGATCAACTCCAAGCTAAMCCCAGCAGCACGTTATCTCTATCTCCTTTGCCCATGGCTATAAAGACCCTCCCAGGAAAACCAGACCCTCTTCTGGGTTTATTCGGTGCTTTTGCAGCTTCCTGCCTTGTGCCACGGCGCGTCCCCGCTGCGAGCGCCGCTCGGGTCCATCCCAGGCAATAGGATGCCCTCTCTAGCACCTTCCATGCCCGGAGCCACAGGCACCTTGTGGGCACCCACACACACATACACGGAGGGTTTTTTCCCCCAAAGCCAAGCAAAGCGAGCAAGAAAAGGGATGAAATCCCCACTCCCGGTGTTCTGGGACAGCACATACATCCCTAGACTCCATGATGAGAAAAACACCCTGCTCAAGAGAAGCCAGAGATTTTATCCTGGCAAGGAAATCTGTTCCCAGCAGGTTATTAAAGGCTTGAGCGAGACTCCACAGCTGCCCTGGGGAACCTCTGCCTTCCTCCCCACTTCATCCTCCTCCTTCTCCCCCTTTCCCAAGCCGGGCAAAGAGCTGGTTTCTGCCCCTCAAAGGCACATCCCTTGCCCGGCAGAACGAAGCACAGAGACCTGCACAGGGCATTGCCCCCCTTCCCACTCCCTGCCAGGCAAAGGGAGCTGGATACCAGGATACGCAGGAATCTGGTTGTAAGGATGCACGGGAATCTGCTTGTAAGGATGCACGGGAATCTGGATGCAAGGATGCACAGGGGCTCTGGGTGTAAGGATGCACGGGAACTGGGATGCACGGATGCCTGCCCTGATGCCGCTTACCTTTTTCTTCCGGTCCCGAGAGCGGTTCCTGCGCTTGCGGTTGGATTCTTCCTTCTCCTTCTGCTCCTGCAGAGCCTGAGCCTCGATGTCTTTGATTTTCTTCAGCTGTTTCGCTGCTTGAGCCATGGCTGGCGAGGCTGCCGCTCTGCCCGGGGCGCCGCCGAAGTCCCTTCCTCGGCCTCAGCCGCTGCCGCCCCGCACCGCGGAGCGCGCAGGAGGGTGGAGAAGGATGCGGAGCAGCCCGCGAGCCCCGCAGGCGCCTCGGGGGCAGCCGCGAGCCGCTCGCCAGGCGCAGGGCAGCGCTAGGAGGAGGCAGCGCTGCTCCCAAGGGCGGCTGCTCGGGCGGCTCGGGGCACCATTGCAGCAGCGCCCTCGCGGTGCCGCGGCTCGCGCTCAGCCCCGGTGGCAGCGGCAGCTCCCGCCGCTCGCGCTCAGCCCCGG